ACTCTGCCTCGGAACATCCCGAAAATTTCTCGATGACTGTTGCGCGTGAGACGTTCTGACACATGTCACAGTGAATAACAAAGGAGCATAACAAGATATATCGTACAACGGGGTGATTCTAACCCCTATACGTACTGTAAACAAAACAGAGTTACCATTTAATTTCGCCACTTCTCCAAGCCATGTGATATCAAATTAAATAAGTCTACACAAATTTAAAAGCAATTATGGAACAGAAAATGTTTAATTTCAATGGAGTTACGTTTCATCAAAATGAACGGCGTAAAACTGCAGGAACTTTCAGGATGACCTAATAACAATGCTAGCAGGCAGAGAAGAGTTAGGAAACGGACGAAGGGATGAAAGGATCGCTACGTTGCTGTAGTGGGATCTAATGACAACGGTGAACAGCTAGAAAGTAGGCTCTATCAAAGGTGATTTGGATCATCCGATGACTACGTACCCTCGTGCCAGTTCGATAGAGTGATTGTGCCTTCAACTTGACGGCGCCACGTCACCTTTGGTTCTGGGGTACCGGTGGCGGCGCACCGTAACGTTACGTTGCTCCCCTCCCGCACGACCATGTCCGTACTAGTAGGGGAGTCCAGGATATCCGGTGGTACTGAAACAATGACCACATTGCAACGATGCTAGCCCGCCTCCCTCGTGTACAAGCACATACCGGCACGCTCGAGCGCGACACCATTCGTTCGGATAGATGGCTATCTAGCCAGCAACGAACCGATCTACCGATGTCTAGTTGTGCATTCGCAAGTATTCTATACCAGCCACGCCACAGGGGAGCAGCAGCACACTGGTCTGGCCATCGACGAATCGAACTTCGCTCTGCTGTCTCGCGTACGGGAATCCGATCGTAAAACCGAGAATCGCTTGGCTGATTGTGAATATGCTCGGTCAGCGTTGCGCTTCAACGTGCCGGTTCATAATTCCGTATCTCCAGTGAGAGAACGTGCTTAAGGGGCCTTTCTCTTTTAAAAGAAATCGTCAATTTTGGTATTTTTCGCTTTTTTTTCTTTGCATTTTCGGGCACCTTGGCGCCTTGGAAATATAGGTATGAAAGGATTTTTTTGAAATTTGGGAAATTCACTTTACTGTGAGAGAAGAGAATTTGAGTAGTATTCTATAGGAATGTTTGTGTAGGTAGGTATTAAGAACGATCTTTCTTCAAAGTTTAAACGCGTTTTTCTGGAAACTACTTTTTAAAAAGGCATGTGTACAAGATTTTTTGGAAACTGTCTAATGGAGATTTCTGAAATTTTGCACACACCTTCAGTACACGTGTAGGTGTAGGGCACAATCCTGTATAGTCGGAAAATTCTAAAAATTGCTGTTTTCAAGGACTCCAGAAGCAACGATTTTTAGGTAAAAATTTGAAGTATGACTTTGGCGTGCAGCCATTTTGTTATTTTTTGGTACTTTTCAACCAGAGTGGATGTTGCCCGACGTCAGCTACTGCATAATCAGTCTTTCACGGCATTTTGGTTTCAGATGTGCCAGATTTGAGAAATGATACACGCTGGAAACTTCTTCGTGCAAGCGTTACTTCTGGTACACGTTACACAAAAACTATACTGCATTTCATTACCAAAAAATTTAAGCACGCAGTGTAATATACGAAGAATAATCGTTCCAAATTTCATTTCAATAGCTGTGGTAGTTTTGTTGCAAAAAATTTCCAAAGAATAGCTACTTTCCGGACGTCTAAAAGCGAATGGCCCCTTAATACAAGTAAAATATTAGTGAACGTAATAATTTGTCAGTATTTTAAATAGATGGTCAGTGGGTATGATTTATTTTTCTTGACCAAAAAACGAATTAATACCGACCAAATAAACAAAATTGTACCGACAATTAATTATTTATGCTGTCCAAAATATTCATTTTCACTATTTATGTTAAAAGCTACTTACCACTAATTTAAAAAGAAACTAACCGAATAAATAGAAGTGTTAATATAATTGAAGTTCCATATTACTAAAACCTTTTGACTTTACGTTCTACAGCATTTTTGAAGATTCGATAACCTAAAATTTTGAACAAAACACAAAATTACATTTGTTCGTTATGCTAAAAAATATTTCAAATTTACTGCAATTTGTCTATTGCGATTAAACTGCCTACTGGCATTAATACTAAGAAGCATTAATAAGGTTTTATTAATCGTATCCCTGTTTGTCATAAAGATTACCGTCAGAACAAACTCTTTCGAAAGAAGCTCGCTATCCTGTTCCTCCTGTGAGTTCCATAAGACGTGTTTGGAACATAAAGTAGCCAGAGAACGAACTTTTCACGGGAAGAGATCTTCGAGTATAACGCGAAATTTTCAGACAGGTCTCACGTACTTGTGCTACTTGTTATCCTAATTAAAGTGATGGTTTTGATGGTCTTATACGCAGACAGAAGTGAACAAAATTTCTGATATGTTGAATATCAAATGATTACGAAATCAAATAAATAGTAAGTACGATCCATATACAGTTACTCTTATTAATATTCGGACACCATTTAGAACAGCATTGCCTTTTTGAAACTGGCCCAAACGACTTGAATTTTTTTGTGAGAGGTTAGAAGGATTAGTTTACTAGATGACGTGTACAAAGAATTTAGAGAAAATTGCTATTGGTCGGGAGTCTCATGTCCCTTTTTCCAGTAATTGGAAGTTCATTTTCTGCTAACTCTTATGTGAGTGATACATTGTCTAAGAGTTGAGGAAATGTATTTACAAAATTTCGAACATCGATTATTTAACAAATAAAAAAATTTTTTCAACACACATGGTTGTCCAATTTCCTAAGTAAGCATCCACGCGATGAGCAAGTGATCAAGCCTGTGTTGGAGGGCTCGAGCGATTTTCTCGCCGAGTATAGCACGCGCTCTTACGAATGAAATCATAAGGCAAGGGATTAATTTGCTATCTATTATAGATGAAGGCCTAGGTATTTGACGCTTTCCACTCGCGGAATGGGTGAATGATTAACATATCAGCGTCGGATGACGCATACACGCGTCATTCGGGTTTTTGACTAGAGTTCGGATGACATGGAAACATATCTGTCTCAAAATAAATTTACAGAACGCTGTAAACGGTTCAATTCCCCTTCGGAAATGCAAAAGTTGCACACGTTTTACGAAAAAGTAATTTACCACTTTCCTCGAAATTTCTTTGAAAAATGTTAATTAGTTACAGAGTCATAGCAGTGTCTTCCAACTTAACGTGATTGAAAGAAAAGTCCTCTGCTCTGAAATGTTCTTTACTCGTTCTTTTCTGAGGGCAAATGTAATGTGGTTGAAGATTGTGCATGTTAACTTCAATCTTCTTGTTTTTTTAGCCAGTTCTCTACTTCTAATAAATGTGTTTCCACACTTTTTATTGCTATTTTGAGATATTTGTTTACCGAAAGGATCGCAGTGTCATCTGCGAACGTGAATTTTGTAGTTGGTACATCTGCCGTGCAAAGAGTGTAAAAGATTGGGCCTAACACGCTGCCCGGGCAAGATAATTAAAGTAACACTATTAAATTTGTGATGAGCTTTTCTGATGAATCAGGTAATCGCGAAGTTATCAAGCAAAAAAGCAATTGTACCAGGTCAGAGCGAGGCCATAGAGAAAAATATCAAGCAACGCGTGATGTAATTTATTTTCCACTGTACCTACGTCGAACACAAACAGAGCGACAAAAAAGCTTCGTATCCGCAGATAGTATATTTATTGATACGGCGAAACAATCGCGCCGAATTTATTATTTCACACGTATTCGTTCGACAGCATGTTGTTCTTTCGCGCAGCTTTTCACAGCGACCCATTTTTCGCTGTAAGTCACTCGGAGCATGCATTCAAACCATAGAATCAACGAGTTATCTTGAAATTGTTTGCAAACTTGGGATCTCGGACGTGCACATCTTCGTTCGAAATTTTCGAATTTATTTCGTATATAGGATTTTTGCAATATATTGAAAACATTTTCTAATTAAAATTTTTATGCAAAAATGTAAGGAGAAACTGCATTTGCACTTGCTATGAAACTCAATATTTTTAAAAAATCATATGCACTTCTTTAATAAGTGGCGTGTAAATGACGAAAAATTTTTGATAATTTGTAACACCACCGTTTTACAAAGAAATTAAATGAGAAAAACCTTTTACATTCTTTAAGGATCGCACAATAAAGCCCTAATGAAAAGTTTTCGTTTAAGTATGTTATTTCCTTAAAAAAAAATGCCGAAGTTAGGTATCATTTTCAGACCTCGAGAGTGCTCTAACCCCTTAATTCAGCCTAAAATTCTTTACGGTTTTATATTTCAACATAATGTCGAAATAGATTCACGTTATATATTTACACAAGTATCCTGAAAACCAGTGTGAATTATATCCCTGGAAAATTGAGTATTACAGTTTACATCTTTACAAGTGCCAATATTGGAATCCTCATCGATTTCACTGTAACACACCTGATTTATTTTAAATTAAAATGTTGAGGAGGATAATTACAACAGCTGCTTTTAATGCTAGATTAAATTAAGCTCTTTGCCCACCTGTTAAACGAAACAGGAATTTAACAATTATTTAAAGCAGTATTATTCTGTTATATACTTTTACGTCGGTTTTGATGTTTTCGCACTTGATCTATTTAATTAGTTCAAAAACACGAGAACTAACATTCTATATCCATAATGGTTAAACAGATATTTCCAATAAAACGTTATAAGTAACTTATTTGACAAAATGATTCCTATATGTAGGGTAAATGCATCTGATATCGTCCCCAGCGATATTTCGTAAACAAAGTGTTGAAATGCAGGGAGGGCCGCGTAAAACAGGTCACCTAATTATCTTATCCAGCTATGATGGTACGAGAAATTTTTGCACGTAACTTAAATGGTTTCAAAGGGTAAACAGGATGGAGGAAAAATTGTTCACATCTTAATTAATAAAAGGATTAAAATGGCTTTCTCAAGAATAACTTAGCTGGTGCACGTGTCTCAAACCGTGTTAACTACTTACACGCAAAGCGTTTCTAATTATTTTATGCAGCTTCCTGCTACATACCGTATATGATTAATCCCATTGTCTCGTTTAACGTAATAAATAAAATTCAAATCAATATCTGCAGTGGTTTCGAAGAGGACAGTTTGTAACACTTTATCTAATTCACCCTGTTACAGGGTGGTTCTTATAAAGTGACCGACCGAGTTTTCTCCAAAATGGAAAGAGATACGAAAAAATCAATGAAACGAGAAATGTTGTGTTCCAAGGGAGAAATCTGTTGAAATCCTAGATGATCTCAGAGTGAACTGAATATTTTTAAATGAGACCCTATATTTTTCCCCCTATAAACTGATATTTTTCCCCTATAATCTGATAATTTTCCCCTATAATCTGATAATATTCTGCGTGATGAGTTCATCGACCGCGGCACAAGTTCATCCAAGGTCATGCAAGGTCACACGGAGCCAAAAACTTCAACTATTATGCTCGAGGAAGATAACGTGTTTATCAGTGCCACTTTTCGCGACGGGAAACGATATTTCTCGTGACAACGAAACCGAATGTGCTACTTTTCGTGACGGACACGTCAAACTGCTACCGAACCAAGAATACAA